GGGCCAGCGTGTTCGTGCAGCGACGGCACCATTTTCGAGGCCGAAGCTGCGGAAGGCCGGGGGCCCGGGCCCTTTCGAGCCGCGGCAGGCCCGGCGCGCACGTCGCGCAGGACACGGAGCATGTACGTGGCGACGCGGCCCGGCGTTGACGGCGCCGGCGCGGGCGCGCCACAGGTCGGCGAGGCGGGTCTCGAGGGCGGCGAACGCGCGTGCCAGCGTCGCGTCGAGCCGGTCGTGCAGCGCCGCGGGGTCGTCTCTGCTGAGCTGGGCGTGGCGCGCGTCAATGGTTTCCTCGTCCTCAATCTCGTCGTCGTCGTCGTCGCCGTCGTTCTCCCACCGCTGCTTCTTCAGCTCGTCGACGACGCCCTCGACCTCGCCAATGACGCGGCGCCACGAGGCGAAGCACGTCACGGCCCTGGCGACGGCGTCGTTGCGGCCGTGGAGCTGGGCCACGAGGTCCTGCAGGAAGGCGTCGACGCCGGCGGCCGGGTCGATGTCGAGGGTCGTCTGCGCCCAGAGGGGCGTCGGGCGGTCGGTGACGCCGTCCTTCCAGGCGTCGAGCGTGGCGGCGACCTCGGAGGCGACGAGGTGCAGCTTGTGGACCTTGGCTTCTATGAGCGCCAGCAGGTGCCCGTTGATGGCCTCGCGTAGGGCGTCGAGCATCTCGGAGGGGTCAAAGCCGCGGGCCTTGCCGCCGTCGCGGATCCAGAGGCGGAGGACGCTCGTGCGGAGGTCTATGACGGCCTTGAACTCGGTCATGCGCTCCATCGTCGACCGCAGGCCGGCGACGAGCACCTCGCCGCCCCTTTCGGCCCAGCTCGTGAGCATGCTGCGTGCCTGGGGCCCGTCGAGGTCGTCGTGGCGGATAAAGGGCGTAAAGGTCAGAATGTCGTCGCCGCACCAGCGCTCGTACACGTCGAGCCTCAGCGCCTCGACGTTTCGGAGCACGTCGCTCTGCAGCAGCGGCCGCTTCTTGAGGTTGGCCAGGGCGTCCGAGAGCTTCGAGGGCACCAGCGCCTGGACGTCGAGGAGCGTCCTCACGTACAGCAGCTGGCTCTTGAGAACGTTGGCGCCGCCCTGCAGCCGACCGGTCTCTGCGTCGCCGTCGGCGTAAAAGGCCGCCGACATGGCCTTGCTGCGGACCGTGAGAAAATGCTTGAGCACGTCGCGGGCGCCCGAGCTCGTGGCGAGGCTGTAGGCGCACAGGGCCTTGAGTGTGTGATCCTGCCTCTGGGCCTGGTTGTCTGCCGTCTTTTCGAGGAACTTTTCGATGCTCCGGAGAAGACGCCGGCGGAGACCCTCGAGGGTCTTTCTCGCCGTGTCGACGACGAGGGCGGCGTCGGGTTCCCTCGCCAGCTCCTCACGCGTGAAACCCTTGGACAGCAGGCGGCTCAGCACGAGGACCTCGCGCCGAGCAGCAGCCTGTCGCCGGGACCCAGTTTTGTATCGTGGCCGGCGGCGGCGGCAGCCGTGGTGAGGCCGACGTTAGCCCCACGGCCCTTGAGCAGGAGCTTGCCGACGACGAGGGCGCAGGCGTCGAGGAGCCTCGCCCTCGCCAAGACGGCCATGCGGGGGTCTTCGGCTTCGGAGGCAAACTCGGCGTAGCCCTCGAGCTTGCGGCCGACGACGGCGCGGCCGCAGCGGTGGCCCATGCGGGCGAGCAGGGCCTGGACGGCGTCGTTGTCCTGGCGCATCTGGACGATCGAGTCGGCGGTGCCGAGGAGGCCGCGGTAGGAGGAGCCGACCTGGGTGCGCAGGCGCGCGGCCTTGTCGTCAATCTGGACATGGAGTGCGCGGTGGATGGCGCGGATCTGGGGCAGGGTATGGTTGGCGGTGAAGACGTCGGCGGAGGAGGTGAGGCTGGCGATGTCGGGGGCGGCGGCCATGGTGGGCAGTTAAGGGAGGGGCATCGAGGGGGGGGGGTTGTCTGTGTGCCGGTCAATGGCCTAGGCTTCTGGTGAAGCAGAAGCAGGAGCAGGAGCAGGAGCAGTCTCAGGTCGTGTGCAGACAGTGGCTTGATGCAGCTTCTGCAGGCTGTATGTGGTGGAGGGACTCGAGGCTGTCCTTCAGCTGTGTGTCGTAGTGGAGGATCTGTGCTCTGTGGTGAAGCTGTCGACAGCTGCGGTTGAGCCTTCCTCAACAGTGGACAGATGCTGGAGCACCTTGCGTGACCAGCTGCCGCCGTGTGTCGTGTCAGTGCCGGTGTCTGTGGTTTGCGGGCACTCTGACCACTGTAAATGGCCACTGTACATGGCCACTGTCAATGGCCACTGTAGCAGCCGCTGTCTCGGCCACGGGCTTCCACTGGTTCTGGAAGACCACTTGAGCCGATTCACCTGGGCAATGCCGACAAAAAGCACTACAGAAATCGAGGCACTGCACACCGTATGGACTATGGACCTCGTCTATAGAGGATCATCCGAGGACGGCGTTGAATGCACGGGATTGAGGGCATCAGGCGCTGGAGGGACACCATGACGATGCAGGTGATCCATAGTGCACGTGCCACAGGTATGACTATAACATACACATATACATGCAAGTATATATACATATATATATATATAGACATATACATATAGAGCAGCAAGTCCATCTGCGCGTTTGTCACACCTGCCAAGCGGTCCATCTGTAAGGTGCTGGATGCCATGAGACTCGTGGCTTGGATGGAGTCACCACGTTGACCCGAGCCTTCATTCTAGGAGAAGTGAGAATCAACAAGAATTGTGCTTAATGTATGGGCGTTCGAGTGTGGATGTATTGGTTTAGTTAATAGGTGCTAAAAATGGGCATCAGGTGAACCTTCAGTGATGCATGTCCCTTGACAGACGAATAGCCCCCTTGCATTGGATTTTCCAGTCCCGTTCTCCCAAGTGACCATCTTTCACCAGGCCGACCGCGGCCTCACAAACGCCCACCATTCCCCATTTTCCAAATGTATGTAGCACTCTATTTATATCCATTCAATCATCAGAAAATAAAGGCTTTAGTTCTCCAGGTGTGCGGTCTTCCAATTTTGTCCCAAGCAAAGAGAAGCCAGCATAGCCATCCATCAGAGGTACAATCCTATCAATTAGACTGTGAATCTCACCGAACTCCTAAATAAATCAGATCGATGGTGAGAGGTCACAGCTGTAGTTGCAGCATGGCAGCAGCTTAGATGAGGAAAGGAAAGAGAAAGGCAAACGCAGAATCAATTGCAGAGAGAAGGTCGATCATGATGACGGATCATGCAGCAGTCTCCAATGGTCGAGTAGAGAGCTGATAATGGCCATTGCTGGAACGACAGGATTGATCGTGTGAAGGAAAAACCAGTTGCAGAAGACGTTGCAGTTGTGATGAAGGATCAGTCATGATGATAAACCAAATCAACAGAAAGCAGTTGCATTGTCGAGACGACTGTGAAATGCAGAGACTGTCTAGGAAGTCGCAAGTGGAGGAACGTTATCTTATCACCCGAACGCACCTGCCCCACTAAAAAGTTCTCGCCCGGGTGGATTTTTCCCAAACCCCCATGGTCAAGGCTGCTATCGACGACTCGTCCCTCCCCAAGATCATCACCTTCCCGCCGTCGAGCCGACACGAGAAGAGCAACACACGATAAGGAAAACGAAAATGGGCAAGAAGAGAAAGGCGTCCTCGCGCAACGCGCAGCCGACGGGCCCCAAGGAGCTCGACGCCGCCGACGCCCGCCTCGGCCCCATTACGACGTACGAAGACGTCGCCGACTCGGAGGAGGAGTACTTTATCAACCGCGACAAGATCATGTTTGACGAGGCGCCCCGTTCGAAACGCGCGCGGCGTGTGGCCGAGGAGGACAAGTTTCTCGAGCAGTCGGATGAGGAGATCCTTGACGAGGACATGGACTCGGA